TATACATGTTGTCATTATAGAGTACTGTACCGAACTATAGATGTTGTCGCTATAGAGTACTGTACCGAACTATACATGTTGTCGCTATAGAGTACCTCCCAACTATACACGTTGTCGCTAAAGAGTTCATGTCCCCAAACTGTACATGTTGTCATTATAGAGTACTGTACCGAACTATAAACGTTGTCACTATAGAGTACCTCCCAACTATACACGTTGTCGCTAAAGAGTTCATGTCCCCAAACTGTACATGTTGTCATTATACAGTACTGTATCGAACTATACACGTTGTCGCTATAGAGTACCTCCCAACTATACACGTTGTCGCTAAAGAGTACTGTACCAAATTATACATGTTGTCACTACAGAGTACTGTACCGAACTATACACGTTGTCGCTATAGAGTACCTCCCAACTATACATGTTGTCGCTATAGAGTACCTCCCAACTATACACGTTGTTACTATAGAGCACTGTCCCCAACTATACATGTTGTCACTATAGAGTACTGTTCCCAACTATACACGTTGTTACTATAGAGCACTGTCCCCAACTATACATCTTGTCACTATAGAGTACTGTTTCCAACTATACACGTTGTCATTATAGAGCACTGTCCCCAACTATACATGTTGTCGCTATATAGTACCTCCCAACTATTCATGTTGTCGCTAAAGAGTTCATGTCCCCAAACTATACACGTTGTCGCTAAAAAGTACTGAATAAGCTCCCTTTCCGGTCAGACCAAATGTAAATGGTAAGTATGCCATATTTTCTCATTATTCCAGTTTACCAAGCTATACATGTGCACTGAAAAATTCATCTTCCATCACTACAGTCGATCAAGCTGTAAATATAGGTGCGGATAATCAGAACAAGATCAATGCTAAGAGGCTCAAACAAGTTAAAAATTTAACACCGATGGTCGGCTAGCAGTGATTCAGAAAAGCCATAACCACTGGCGTTACTGTCAGCTGTCAGGAAATATACCAGGATAAATCAGTTAAAAATATGTGAACAACATGTTCTGCGTTTCGGCTCAATCGATTTACTGAATCAACCCACTCTTTCTGTTTCTATATAAACTCAAACAATCATCACTGATCATAGAACTTGATTATCGAATCAATATGATGGTCAATGCTAATTTGATGTTGATGGTGGTCTTGCTGTGGGTCGGGGCATTATCAGTGGCCAGTCCTAAACTTCACCGCAACAAGTGGGGAATAGGTAAGTATAGTAGAGTTTGTTTGAATTGCAGCCGGCTTGGAAACAAATTCCGTCGAATTCGCTAGAACTTTTGGCTGACAGCTTTAGAACGTTTAACCCAGTTACTTGTCTGAAAAATAAGGAATAAATAATTTTGTTGTAGATTGTGATAAATATATTCTGCCAATAAATGCAATATGGACACCCAGGGCCAGCTGCGAAGATAATAAACGATTCAGATGCCAAATCGGCTATGTATCACAAATCCAGACTATATGTAAAAAGGGTGAGTGGTCTATGGAACCAACTTGTCAAGGTAAGAATCAATTTCCTTACAGTCTCTTTACATTTCAATTTAGATTTACATTCCGGAGAGAGAGTATTTTTTTAGGTTGGATAAATAATAATATAATGTTTCATAAATAATATTGAGTCGGGAAGAAAGGCTCTTTTTGGGGATATAAAATGAAATATATTGATGTATATTGATTGTCTCTTTTTGTCCTTCCATCAAGCCCAAGGTTATTTCTCATCTTAGGAGTGTCCACAAGGAGAGAAAATCTCTAACTCTAATGATGTAACAGAAACCAGAATATTTACTCTACTCTTGGGTTATCTATTAAATATATTTTACTTTATCAGCTGTAGAGTGTCCACAAGATATGAATATCACTAACTCTGATGAAGTAACCGAGTCTGGCATTTACGGTGGAGAATTTAGTTTTAACTGTTCAGTTGGCAGTGGGCAGAGAGCTCCTGTCT